TGTTATGTTATGGCTCTCAAAACTGACGATGAATAAACTACTGACGCTATTTTATATACATATTAATTCTATATAGTTAACATTGTTTATTATCTTTTGCTTAATACGCAATATATAGGATAGTTTACGTAATAATTAAACTCATGGGAACATGGTATCATGAGTAAGAACTATCTGGAATACTAGTAACAAGTTGGCCGTACCAGTTGAACTCGAGTTCCCAAGTTGAAACTCGGTTGGTTGGAACTAATCGGAAAATGGAAACCCTTAGGAGATTATTGTTTGTGGTTCGTATTCATCCATCCGTCTGTCCCTTGGTCATAACTCACGATCCGTTTATCCAAGTTACATGGGCGATTAATTACACGGAATACCGTAACAAAATCACATTTGGACGTTTTCGATTTATTTAACTTTTATTGTATTACGCAATGTATTTATGTGATTGTCTCTTTGTTGTATAAATTGCGTAGTTGGTATTGTGTGGTGTTTATAGTTACATTTATAATAGAGACGTTTTATATTACTATGTACTTATAGCCGACTTTCCAAAAAGGAGACGGTTATCAATTCGGCAGTATTTATGAAGATTTTGTTGTATATGTTACGCGATTACTCCAGTGTTCGTGGAAGAAATTTGATGTTTTTTTTTTAATTTTGTGTAAAGAGAGAACAATTTTTTCTCGATGGCTTTCCATATTGCTATTGCTTTGATTATATTAACAGCAATAATTGCACAGACACTAATCATACTAGGTACATTAAATCTAGTTTATTGCGATGTGCTCAAACTTCAACAATCAGACAGTTTATTTAATAATTATAATTATAACTTTAATAAGCACTTTAACGCTCGATTACATGGATAATCAATAGTTAATCAGTATAACTAGACAATAGGGATACCTATTAAGCTTGATAGCCCTGATCTGAATGCACTGATACACAGGAACTTACGCTAAACATTAGGATATAATTGACAAAGGAGCAATGCTAGCAGCTGTGAAACGCTCATTTGATTGAATTGATTCGATTAAGATAAATAAATACTTAAAATACACCCGACTTTGATCTATCGTGGCTCATATTAAATAATGAAAAAAAATTAAGTTGGTACGAAATATGACATCATGAATTTCGCAAGCATTGACATAACATCAAATCACGCCTTTTTATCCCCCAAGAGGTAAGCAGAGGTGCACTGTACAATGTAACACCCACTTTCACTATTTATATTATGATTCCCATGTAATAGGGCTGAGCCTTGACTTCTGTAATTATACAGGTATGGGTTCATTGTAACATTATTTGTATGTAATGGTATCGATATAAGTGGTTTAGTCTTATTATTTGCAATAATGTGGGTAAGAATTTGTACATGGTTAACTAAAACAATATCAATAAAATAATTTTGACGTAACGAAACTTTCTATCAATTACCTCTTCATTCACGATATATTTACCATTAAAGTGACTGACTTCCTCGTTGAACGCGGGGTCGCAAGTGCGACTGCCGAGCAAGGAGTCTCGGGTTCAATTCCCGGGTCGGGCAAAGTATTACTGGGTTTTTAATTCTCAGTAATAGCACGGAGTCTGGAATTGTGCCCGGTATATGGCAACAGACTCATCCCCTATTACATGGGACTCATAACATTGTACAGTGGCATAATGTGCACCTCAGCCTACCCCATGATGTTATGTTACGTTAAAATGCATACTTAGTTAAATATTAAAATGCCCTGGTATTATACAAAGGCGCCTTAAAATTTAATAACATCACAAAGAAACCTCAATCTTTCTCCTAACAAAACTTCAGAGAGCTGGAATATTTTATTCACAGTCTAAACATTGGATCTTGTTTTACTCAAACATATTTTGCTATTCAAACGACCCTTGATTTATCGTTTTACAATACAATTGAACTGTCAAGTAGTGAATGTTTCAATCGATTTTTAAAGTGGTTATATCATATTCTTTTATCCAGATTATAGCAAAATATATTCTTTATCCCATTTTGGATGTGTAAAAGGCTTCGTTGTAGTTTAAGGTAGTTTGCATTCATGAAATTGTTATTTCGTTTTGATGAATACCATTTAGATGAATTTGTATTCATTCAAATATAGAAATGAGTCTAACAGTTTTATAGGTAGGTATTATTAAACAGCCTGCCTAACTA